CTCTGTGTTGAAGCCTACTTGATCCTGATGGATGATATTTTCAATAATCATCTTAAAAGGTAGCCTTTGGACTGTTGAGATGGCTCAATGGATGAAGGCACTTGCTACCAAGCCTACATTAGATCCTTGAAACTCGCATGGTGGAAGAAGAGAATCGACTCTTGTGAGTTGCCCTCTGACATCAGCACACATGATATGGCACAGGCACACATGCATGTGCATACACACACACACACACACACACACACACAAACACACACACACACACACACACACTAGACCAAATGTATAAATTTAAAGTATATAAATAACGCAGAGCATAAGAGCAAAGTAAATAATTATCACTCACTGTTCCAAACTATCACCATACATTTAGCTAATATTATAAACAAATATGTAATTTAAAATAATCTAAGCAAATCAATAACCTAAGCATCTCCTGGTTTACTTTAAGCTATTTTCAAAGTGATCAGGATGGCTTAGGAGGACTGATTCTCTGAACAATGTCATCTTTTCTTCAGCAAGCCCAGGACTCTCTACTCTTTCCACCTTGTCATGGTAGATGACACTTATCTGAAAGAAATTTCACAGAACCTGTAAGATTCTGAATAAAGTTTCTTGGAAAAGAACTATTTTTCAAGCATTCAAGGAATGATTGTGAATCAAAAAGTCAGTGAACTATCATCTGCAAACCCAAGTGATGCATACTACACATTTTATAAATAAAATTTTGTTAGAACACAGACACATTTACTTTTCTATGTACTGTGTTATTCCCTACAGCTGTTTTCACATGTACAGCGAGGTTGAACAACTATAATAGATCACATACAGCCTGAAAAGTTGGAAGTATTTATGTCTGACACATCACATGAACATTTTGTTAAACCACTTTCTAGACTGTTCTCTTCCTCTTACACTTCCACCATTGTATTGAATCTATCTGACTACTGCTGGTTCTGGTTTCAATACTTTGAAGGTAATCCCATTAATGTTCTTTTGTTTCATCCACATGTGCCTGTGTTGGGATAGGCTTATTTTATTTTGTGGACACTCTTCCTTATAAGTAGGTGAGACAAATCAGGTGATGTCACTATTCTGCTGGCATCTACAACCCACTCTAATTTCTTCCATGCACTTGCCTTAGAACAAATGTTATATGTCTGCAATGTTCTTTGCCCATATGTTCACATAGGGTTTCCTTAATACCATTCAAATCTCAGATCAAGTGTATCCTCTTTAGACAGGTTCTCTCAGAGAATCGAATACCATTTACTCTTTAATCCAAAGCCTTGCTGATAATTCACTGTCACTCTAACTCATTATCACTTACCACCACCTATAAACAGCTCTATTCAAATATTGGTTGTCTTTCCCACACCAAAATCTAGATTTCCAATCCACCAGTAGTTCTTTGTTTACTGCAAGATCACCTGCTTATAATAAAAACTTGAAAGGACAGGGAAGATGGATGCATCCTTTGATTTATTCATTGCCAGTCTAAGCATGTGATCAGAAGATGACAAGCAAAGTTTGCCCTTTTCTGACACAAACTTTTATTTCTAACCCTAGGTGTGTTTCTTTGAGAATTCATCTATATAAAATATAAAATATGAATATTCAGGACAAAATCTTAGTGTCAGTGAATACTCTAACTACGTTTTAATTCCTAATAAAGAAATATTTCAGTGAAAAATTACACTTAAAATCAGGTACATCAAAGCACATGAGTTAGAACCACGAGGACTTCCCTCATGTTACTGTATCTTCAGCAATCAATGGATCTATGAATTACTCCTCCATTGACTGTCTGAATAAAACATCACTGTGTGGAAAGTTAATATTGACTTCTCATAGATATCTCACTGATTTTATCAAGATAATACTAAATTATTTAACCTTTATAATAACATAGAAGACTCTCAATTCCAAGAACAACTTAAGATCTGTCTTGTAACAAGAATCACAAATTGGTAGACATTTGACTTTTTCTAGATTTTTCAATTTTTAAAATAAACACTAGGGCATTATAAAATCTCTCACAAATTATATCTTTTTAAACATAGTTTCTTAAAACTAATTTAAAATTATCAATTCATTTAGTCTACCAAAGCTCTTCTCCAAGTGGACTAAAGAAAAATAACCTTCATTTATTTAAACGATTAAAATATATAGTTAATGCATTCCCTATTTATTATATCAGATTTTAAAGAACATTAATAACTGCCTGTTTAAAACTGTATGACATTTACAGTTTGTATAGAAAAACACCTGTAATTACAAAGCAGAATGAAAGTTAAAAATGAACACTTAGACAGTACAATAAATTTATCCCATAGTATCTTTTTTTGGAAAGTTTTTATATATGGCCTAAAATTCTTAGAAGTAAAGATGCTAGTCACTAGCTTAGCAATCTTACAAAAATTTATTACTGAACTTTTTATTTTTGCCTTTATGAAATGACTGGCAAAAAGAAATTCTTGGTTGCTCATTCAGACTAGTTGCTAAGACTATATTGCTGAAGACACCATATATGTGGACTGCAAACTGGAACTGATCTGGAAGCTTCCTCCTCACTAGCTAGATTTCATAGTGCTAGAAAGTACTATACGAGCTTTGGGGGTGAGACTGGCACATCCAGCTATCAACTCCTCATGCTACAAATATCCATCTCCCAGGCAAGATGCACCTGCCGATTCAATAATGTCACAACTGTTAAGGAAGCAACAACCCATTCTGACAGGGTCTGGGGCCTGAGCCATGGGAAGGAATTAATTTTTCTTACTCTAAACATGGTCAAAGAGCCATTGCCAAGGAGGTCTTTGATCATTGGGGTAAACTTAATACTTTGCTTTAGCTAAATTGTCAGTGTGTCAAATCACCTTTTAAATACATTTATAGTGACATACAAATGCTCCTTCCAGCTTGAATCAGAGAGCTTTTGTTTGCAATGTGGGTAGTGACTACGAAGACACATGGCTGCTTGGGATGCTGAGAGTAAGTTGAGTGCTCAGGCATTGATACCTTTCACTTCTGAGGCTCAGAGAACATTGCAAAAGAGGGGCTGGCAATAATGTAAGAGCCAGAAGAGAATGGCCATCAAATAGTGTCTGTTGGGCTCTGCACAGCCAATGCAATTACGAACCTACAGTAGCTTATTAACAGTCAATCACCAACTGCTGAGGAACTGAAGGAACCCTACCCTTCTGTGCTTATAATAGTTCTGTGGGAGGGGCAATCACTGTCTTCAGGAGTACTCACTAAAGAGTTCACTCAGGCTTTAAGAGATATTTCAAACTCATGGTCACACAGATGATTCTGGTTAATTCAGTGGGTCTCAAACAACAACAACAACAACAGCAGCAGGAGCAAAGGTCTTTTATGCGAAAGGGACCTATAGAAAGGAAGGTGGAATAGAGGTGGTAGATAGGGGCATTATAGACTTCGGAATGCACATGATATATAGATAAAATTGTCAAAGAATAAACAATAAAAATGAAAATAAACATGTTTCTCCCAGAATCATCAGATACAGGTAAAATATCCTTAAATATTATACATGAGTGCTTGTGGAGATTAATAAAAATATCAAGCAAAATATGAAGAAAAGCTAAACTATTTCTAATTTTATGTTTTTACATGGATTTTTTTTCTTTTTACAGATGAGGCAATCAAGGCTAAAACAACTCACTGAAGACCACAAGGTTGACCTTTTCCGTGGTATTTGAGCTCTTTATGTTTGCATATTGACTATTGCTGACAGCACTCTGCCTCCCCACGTAGAAGACTGAAGCAGATGATAGCTATCTGGGGCTTGGCATTGAAATCATACCTGTTCCCTGGCATCCAGCCTCCACAGCTAACCCACTCTAAAGAGGAATATGTTAACAGATCATCTGAATTCTCTACACATCCATCTATAAAAGCTCTAATGAGGGCAGCATATTACTCTCCTGGTGCTGCCATGCAAAATAAAAGAGACTACATTAAAAACAAACAGAAATTACTTCTTTAACAGTATAGAGACTGGATGCCAGAGACCAAGGACTGGGCAGGGTTGGTTTCTGGTGAGGTCTTTCTCCTGTTTCCTCAACACAGCATTTCAATGTGTGTGTGTGTGTGTGTGTGTGTGTGTGTGTGTGTGTGTTTCTGACTGTTACAGAACTCCAATCTTATGGGATTAGTCTATTATATACAATGACCTTACTTAACCTTAATTAATTCTTTTATGGCTGTGTCTAAATATAGTGACACTAGGTGTTAGGACCTTAATGCACAGATCAAGAGACATAATTAGTCTATAATAAGCACAATGAAGAAATACTAGGGGCAAACTGGAAGATACATTTTCTTGTGTCACTGTTTTTTTGAAAATGTTTGCTTCTATATTTTCTTTAGGTTCATACAATATACATTTAAAATTCACATTGTATACTCCTTGTACATAGTATTATGTTACTTAAAGACATTTTCATATGTATATTGTACACTGAAGAAATTTTAAAAAACGCCACAACTTTCTTGGATCTAGGCATGGATATAAGACTATTAACATTTTAAAAACAAACCATAAAACCAAGAAATCATAACTCTACTCATTGTTAATAACTATGATGATCACCTAAGATTTTAATATGTTTTAAATTCACAGGTGGTGACAGCAAAATTAAAATTGAGCAGATTCCTATTACATCATGAGGATTAGCTTGAAGATGTTCTCATGAGTGGATTACGAACTGTCCAGCAACTAAACATGAGAGTCTTGAGAGCCTGCACGCCTTCCCTAGCCAGCCTCTCTGATGGAAGTATTACTTTCTTATTTCTGGAGCTTCTGCTGCTCGTTCATCAAGGTCAATTCAAGCATTAGTTACCAACTATCTAACATCTGTCTCAAATCTCAGGTTTACTTTCTTTAAATTTTCTTTCATTTCTTCAGTGTCTGTGTGTGGTGTGTGTGTGTGTGTGTGTGTCTCCAGAAGAGGCTGTCAGATCCTCTGGAGCTTGAGTTATAGGGGACTGTGAGCCACCCAGTGTGGGTGCTGAGAACTGAACTTGGGTCCCCTGGAAGGGCTGGAGGCACTCAGCCTCTGAGCCATCTCTATTCCTTTTGTGTTATGCACAAATTATTTCATCTTTCTCCTCCAGACTCAAAACCCTTCAGCAATATCTTTTCCACTGATTGCCTCCCAGTGGGCTCTTCTTTAAATCAATAGGCAGAATAATGTCTCTAACCCTACACCATAAAATATCCTTTATGGCCAGACAGTCAGTCAAAGTAAAGAGTCCTACTGTCCTGTGCCCTTTTTCACTTTATTCTTCAACATACCCCAAGCTAGCATTTATTTCATCTTCCCTTCACTCTGATTCTAACTTTCCATCAGAGTGGTCATTATTGTTAGTCTGGTGATCTTCCTGCAGGTCCCATCCTCCGTGTGCTGTCTAAGCTTCCAGAGGAGAATGGCAGCAATCCCTGGATGTGGGGGATTTGAGTTTGCACAGCCGCACTTGTTGCTGCCCTGCCCCTGACTGCCCCTCACTCATCTTCTCCCTCTGTGGTTTCACCTCTCTCACCACATATCACACATAACACACACACACAGACACACACACACACACACACACACACACACACACACACACACATCTCCCTCTGTCATCTTGCTAATCTAAGTTACTGAAGTATTTGTCTTTGCTATCTTTTTCTAATCCACCAATAGAATCATTTTCCTTAAATACCTAAGGTCTTGCATATATTTAATCTTTTATGCTAGCTTTATCTCATGGAACCTCACACCTCTACCAAGTACCCAGTTCCTGTATTTTGTGAAGAACTTACTTTAGGATTTCTTATACTCCTCTAGCCTGGTGTTTTTGATCAGCTAATTCTCCTAGCAGTAGAGAGATGCCCAGGGCATTATGTGATGTTTAGGAGAAGTCCTGACCTCTGTCTACAAGACATGAGCAGCAAATCTATTGTAACAACAAAACTGCCTCCGGACATTGCCAGTGTCCCCAGGTTAGCAACAGTAGACATGAGACACATCTTGGGAGATTTATATAATGATCTAGAAACTGTATCTTCAGGAAACAATACCAGATATTGTTACTACGATCTGATTCTTATGTAGTCTACTAGTCAAATCTCTCTTTAAAGGTTTGCAAAAGCTAAGTCGGTTCTTAAGCCTTCAGTTCAGTCCCTCACACTACCATTGAACTCTTCAGATCCAGGCATCTGCCACATTTGAGTGTGTTACCTATTCTTACTTACGGCTCATATTTAGCTTACCCATAGCTGCCTATGCCAGCTTCTCTCCCTCTAATCACTATGCCTCTCATCTTCCTGATTACTTATCCTTTACTGCAATTCAGAATGCAAATTTTGGTCTTCTCTACGAATGCTCCTTTTTACTGGAGCCCCTCAAGGCCACCTTTGTAATCCCCTTTGAACTCTTAGCCCCTTTGCCTCTTACTCAGGCTACTTAGAGCCCACTTACAGCCTAGTGTAAAAGGTTACATGTGATTCTTTCTTATATACCTTTGACTGCTTCTATTCTATTTGTCTTTTAAAAAAAACCCACAAAGAGAATCAAGCTTCCCACTTAATTTGTTGGAATAAAGGCAATAGCCAAAACAGGATATAGAAGGCAGATAATCCTGAAATTCTAATTAGGGAGATGACTCTGCCCAAGTCTTTGAGTTTCTCTAGTTCTCAGTTGAACTCCCTTTCTAGAATGTCTTGTTTAGTGACTTCTCCCCGCCATCCAAAGGGCTATTATGAGGATTAACAGATGATGGTATTGAAACAAAATGTCCCTTAGGGTGGAGATGCCAGCCTCAGAGCCTGACATCCTCCCTGAACTAGTGCTGAGAGAAGACAACCGATTGTGATTGTTACAAGCTGACCTTTGTCTCAAATGTACAAGATGGCAGGAACATGTGTGTACATTCATGTACAAGTGTAGGTACACACACACACACACACATATCCCAAAATCATCACATGTAAATACTCATATTCATGAATTATCTTTTGTCAGCTTTTTCCGTTCTACCACTAATGGCACTATGTGTCATCAATACACTGAATCTTCTGAGGTCGATTCTCTGGCTCTGCAGCATGTTTTATACTTGGATAATTTCCACTGTTTCTGTAGTATCCCCTTCCTTCCCTGGCACCCAGTTCACCTTTAGTATTTACGCTTGACACTTCAGAAGAAGCTCATCTTGACTTTTACACTTCTTTCAATTTTTCTAAAGCCTTTAAAATATATTATTCTTCCCTAGGATAAAAATGTAATAGCCAAACAATGCACAACTCTTCCATAGCTTTAGTTGTTAATAACTAAGCTCCCTGCAGCAACCAGAAGAGAAGAAAAATGTTAAATGTAGTTTTCTAGGGTTGAGGTAGATTTCAAACCTTGGGCTGACTCACCAAAATTTTGTCTGTTTTTCTTTTTCAATTATTTCACTTGTAAACTTAAGCTGACCGTGGTGCTTTGCTGCAATCTATTCTCATGACTGTCACTGAGGGGTACGCTATGTAATGGTTCTAGAAAATCTTCTGAAAATGTGCTGACCTTGGACACTGTAATTTCCCCACCATGGTGTGTCTCTTCAGGGAAATACTTCTGAAGGTAAGTAAAGCTGCCTAATGCACAGAATTCTTTATAAAAATACAGATAAAAATGACTTAAATATCTAAGCACAGCCAACGATATAAGAAGGCAAAGAAGCTGAGTTACTCTTAGAGTGAATCATCTGTGTGATGTGCTAAGTCAGGACATGAGTGTCACTGACTCACTTTACATGCTGTAAATTTTGGGACATGGCACCGGCTTTCTGAAGCTTTATTCATTTGAAGAGGAAAGAAACCATTCCTTGCAGATATGCTGTGAGAGAAATGATCAGTTTAATTAGTGCTTATCTGTCTCTCTACTTCTATGTGAGCCTCAGAGAATATTTATTGTGTTAAAGTTATCTCTGCATGTGGTCAAAGCAGGAAAAAAATCTAGGTGGAATGCTACTTAATTAAAAACAGTTGGTGAAGAAAAAAAGAAAAAATGGTGAAATTTAACAATATGTATTTTTGCTTTTTGCTTTTCTGAGTCTCATCTTCAGTGGTTATTACACACACACACACACACACACAGAGAGAGAGAGAGAGAGAGAGAGAGAGAGAGAGAGAGAGAGAGCGCATATTGGTGAGTGAGTGAAAAAGAGAACATCCTGTGAAAACAGAGAAATAAGACTCATTAACTGCTGTCATTCAGTTTCTTTCTCAGTGATAATGTATTATCCACCTCCAATTCGGCTCACAAGACAGTGTCTGTCTTGTCAAGTACTGTATCATGATTGGCCTTGGATAGTCTGCTATCTATTCAAATTAACTCAATTATATGGCTGTAGAAGGGCTTGCAGATAAGGTGAGCGTTGTATTTCATCCAGAGAGATAAGTTCTGAAAGGGCTTCCATTGTAACCCTTGGACAGAGATGGGGTGTCTCTGTTATTGTGGCTGATGCTAATTCAATTCATGTTCCCACACTTTGTATTTCAGATGGGTACCAACTGTGAGACATATTGAAAAGAAAAGGAAAGCCTTAGATCTTTTATGACCCAGCTGGGACTATAATGGCTGTCTCATCAGGAAAGTGTGCTTCCTAAAATAAGCAAAATCTGCTTAACTTTACCAAAAAAGAAAATGTGCAGTATCTGGAACAGATTTCAACTTTAATGATTTTACCATTTTTAAAAAACCTTAGACTTCTGAGAGTGCTCCTGGCCTCTGACCCATCTCCCCATCACCCCATACCACTACAAGAATCATTAGAATTGCACCACCCCCAAATAAACAGCTAGAACCACGGCTCAGACTGCCAAATGCAAAATTTCAAATGTTACTTATTTTAGGATTGCTGCTTAACGCTTAAATTTTAGAAAAATAAAATGTATTATTTCAGCTTATTCCATTATCCTTTCAGATCAATAGCCCATGAGTCTCAAAGCATTGCTGAATTTTCAAACAAATTTAAAAAAAAAACCACTGGATAAAAATGCAAGCTTCAGATTCATTGTAAACTTTCAAGTACTCACTGGGAAAATGGAATGATTTATTACTAGTATAACACAAAATAATGACTTAGGAACACAACACAAGCCTCTTAAATTTTAAGGGATTTATGAACTCCAGTGTCAACTTGCATCTGCCTTCTAAGTGTCAGAGAAAATCAAAGCACTTCTAACTGGTAGTGGTCACCTTATTCTGAGAACCCGAATGGACACAAACTTAGCCTGTCCACAGGAAAAGCAGTCGTTCTCTTTGTTGCAACCAGCTTTCTCTCACCCATCACTGACCACCTATAGACATCCACTGAGTTTCTGTACAAGAAACATTGCTCATCTGGAATACTTAACAATCACCCAAATCTGGTGTAGGCTCAAATCTAAAACTCTCAACCTTAATAGACATTCCTTAGGGCTGTTGTGACTTTAATAGTCTGTGCCAGTTCTCTGTGTTGTGACCAATCTTGCTCTCCTTCCCTTCCTTCAATGACAAATACATGATACAGCAGTAATGGCTCTCCAATGGCCCCATAGTTTCCAAAAAATGAAACTAGCTTTTTTACTTTGAGATACTAGGAGATTACTTTTAAAACTATGGGTTTGTTGGTTTTCTAGTGTATGTGTATGACAGATTTATCTCTGTATATGTGTGCATATGTATATGTATGTATTTATGTACATACTTATGCATATGAATGCCTGGTGCCTTCAGAAACAAGCAAAGGGTGTCAATCCCCTGGAACTGGAGTTACATATGACAGTTATGAGCCACCATGTGGGTGTTGGGATTAGAACTCTGGTCCTCAGCAAAAGCAGCAGGTGCTCTTACCCACTGAAACCCAACTCCAGCTCTTGTTAGATTTCTTGATGAGCTCTACCCAATTCTTCTTTCCAGACCCTGCTCTCAGCCTCTGTGTGATATTCTTCCAGTCTCTTCTCCAAGTCCTTCTTTTTTACTATGTTCTATCCACTACTACATAGAAGCCACTGAGGCTGTGCTTGTATATACCCTACTCTCCCGAGTCCCTGCCTTTATTTTCCCTCCTTTATTTGCAAAACTTCTGCTCAAACTTAAAAGAACCTAGCTCACATGTCACTTCATCTGAGCAGTTTTTTGAGATGCTTCAGGCAAAACACCATCTTCTATCCTAAGTTCTTACCAAGTATTTGTTCACACTTGAATTGTTAGAATCACAAATCAGGATTAGAAAGGAGAAGCTGTTGCTATTCATCTTCAACTTCCTGGGTGGTGGAATAGGATTTGTTCCCTCTCCTGTCTTTTATTTTTGCTTGCATTGTTTCTGTAAGTAGAGTCTTGTTATGGTAAGCCAGACTGGCTTTGCACTCATGATGGTTCTCAGGCCTTAGCCACTCATCCATGGGGATGATGGGTGTGAAAAACTCATGCTCAGAGTTTTTCAGCTGTTATGCTGCCTTTGAGAATGTGCCTTACATTTTAAATAATTCTCCCTTGCTGAGTAGCAATGACATGCTGTCAGCGCTGGAGAAACAAAGCAAGAATGAAGCATTTGGCTTCCTCATCCTTGTGTGTGCTTGTATTTCTCCCAGCATCCATTTCATAGCACCCAATGGCCAGAAGACTTTCTCTGACATAGCTTTTCATTTGTCTGGGAGTAGCTTCACCAGGAACATTATATTGGGATTCTGGGTACAATTTCTATTGGCATGACACTGTAGCTACTTTATGGCTGTCGCTTGTTGACTGTATGCTTCCTGGCTAGGATGGGTTTTTTGGCCATGGGATGCTAGCTAGACAATGTCTGGGGACACTTTTCTTATCACTGGATGAATTAGTAGTATTAAGCAGAGAGTACTGGTTAGGATGTTGTTAAACATTATAGAGCGTAGAAGACATGCCATCACTCCTTGCTCCAAACACCAACCCATAACACAAAACACAAGTACCTGGTCCTTAAATATCAAGGGCTGTGATTTTTAAACATTTTATGACTATTGTTTTATGTGTTTGGGTATTTTGTTTGTATGTATGTCTGTTCATCATCAATGTGCATATGTACAGGGCCCACATTAGCCAGGAGTGGGTACCAGATGCCCTGGAAGCGGTGTTACACACCTTGTGAGATCTATGCGGATGCTGAGCATTGAACCTGGGTTCTTCAAAAGAGCAGACAGTCATGTTCTTTCCTACTGAACCATCTCTCTCCAACCCTCAACAAAAGTAGGTTTTAGATACCATGGTCAACAACAAGGTCCAGTTCTTAGTCTCCATAGGGCCAAGAGAAGAGAGGTGAGGGCAGAAGTATGGGCAGATTAGAGCCTTTGGGCACGTTGCTTTGGGGCTGCTTTGAGTCCTCCTTACTGCTGCCGTTTCCATGGGGTTTCGGCTTCTCAATAAACACACCTTATCACCCTACTGTCTACTATAGTTTCTGTTTACAGTTTGCCCTCCACGTTCAAATGACGCAGATAATCGTCACATGCCGTGAGGTGTATAGCTCAACCCTCAGCAACAAAGAGCTGGAAATCTATCCTCCTCCTGTGGTGCAGCTCTCAATTCTTAACTAGAGGATTTGTAAGAGTAGTTTTCGAAGTTTTTCTACTCTAAAATTCCAAGACCTACCAAAATGCACTAAAATGTTAGAGCAGGAATTGAGTATCTATCTTATTAGTCGTTATAGTTAAACAATGCAATTGAGCGTTACTCCTGGGCTTTGCGCCTCACCTGCAGAACAGAGTTCATCTAGACAAGCGGTTACAAAATGGCAGCTTTGGAGCCAATTGACAGACAAGCTTTAGTAACAAAGTACACTCCAGTAACCTGAGCAGGTTAGTATCTGTCCTCCTTAGAGGATGCTTGGCTTCTCTCTCCTTCTTAAACATCTTTTATGCTCTTTTCTAATCCCTGATGAATTTTTCTTTTCTTTTTTTTATTGTGTTAAAAATTTTATTAGTTCTTTAGAAATTTCAAACAGTGATCTTTTTTATTTATTTTTTAAGATATAACTATGTCACTCTCTCCCTTTTCCCTCTTCCCTCCAAGCCCTCTTATACTCTGCCTCACTCCTTAAATCCACAACTGTGTTTTCTTTAAATGTTCTTTCTCTCTAAATACAAGTGTATATACATGTATGCACATACAACTTGCTGATTCCAATTAGTGTTGCTTGTTTGTCTATAATTTCATGGCTGACTATTCAGTAATGGTTAACCAACCAAGACCTGTCGAGTCTTTCTTTCTCTCTCTCTCTCTCTCTCTCTCTCTCTTTCCTTCCTCCCTCCCTCCCTCCCTCCCTCCCTCTTTCTTTCTTTCTTTCTTTCTTTCTTTCTTTCTTTCTTTCTTTCTTTCTTTCTTTAAATGCAAGGAATCATTTATTTTACAGAAGTCTACAAAGATGGAGAGACCCCAAAGTGAGTTCACAGGCCCGATTTAAAGCACGTTAGGGGAATTCCAGGGAGGGGTAGGTGACCTCTATCTTTGTCGGTTGGCTCTATCTCTAGGCACATTCCAGAATCATTGCTGGGCTGTGAAAGTCTGAAGCCTGTCATGGAGTCAGCCTAACCCATCTCAATAGCTAGTTATTAATCTATTTA